GGCAACTTGGGACTGCCCCATTTAATCATTCACCCAGACACAGTGACACAATTGCTTCATTCACCTGTCCCACCTTAAGTCGACAGGCCCTAATTTTGACCTAATTTTAGTATGGTGATTGTGTTAACCTATGAATACTGGAAGTTAATGCAATTCAGTACTGTCTGAGTATTCTCGTAATAACTCAAAACTTTTTTCAGTTTAACTTCCACATAATAATGGGTATCATCACTTACAATTTGAGGTAGCCAAGCAAGAACACTACCACCAGCACTGAATTTCATCTGACATAATTGAGTCTTAGAAATGTAATCATAAACTCTGACAGTACCTACACAAAACAAAGAAGAGTAGACATAATTATTATAAATGAGAACAGTACCGTTGTATCCTACAGGTATTTTTCATTGTTTTCCATCATAATGCTTTGTTTTACAGCCACACTGGTCATCATTGTAACAGTGACAGTGGATTATTTTCTAGTGGGCCATTGCTGACTTTTCAAATCAAATAAATAAATTGGTGAAAACTGTATCACTCTCAACACAGCAAATGCTTTACAAAGTGAATAATTGTGTGCATTTGAATGAGTATCACAATTTCTGTTTGGAATGATTATGCAAATACGGTAATATGCAAACGTTATGCAAATTTTATGTAAATTGTTATTGCTACAGTTGATTGAATTTCATGGGAGAACACTGGTTTTTATTTTAATAATTCTTCATGTTATTGTATCATTGAAGCTCACAAAAAGCTTATGTGAACGCTTTCCTTTTTTAAATCAGCATAATTTTTAATGTGAATTTCTCAATATAACAAAGGTCTTGGATATCGGTTTTCAGTGTACACAGTAGCAAGTTTCTAAAAGTACAACTTACGATCGGATGCAGTAGTAGCAGCCAGATGTGAATTGACAGACACTGACAATCCAGTCACTTCACCAGCATGAAAAGAGAAAAGCTTCTCTGGAGGTTTAGTAGTATGTGAGAAAGTCAGGTCAAGTTTCCATATTCCACCATTTGAGTCCTTAGCATTTAAAAAAAAAAGACAATTAGTTAAAAGCAGTAGAAACCCTGCATAAGATAAGTCTAGCCTCATGTAAAAGAAACTTTCTAACAGACAATTTACCTAAATACAGAGCAAGTGTAATTTTGTTCTTACAAATGCATTTAAATCATAAAATAGTGAATGCAGTCAATGCCATATTGTACCGAACCCCAAAACAGCAGCAGCATTGCCATCTAAGCTAGGTGCTGACTGGTTTGCTATGTGTGTATCAAGATCATTAAATGATTAGAACTGGTTAAATCAAACTATTTTAATGAGGGTGTGCTGTCCTGCTATGGTAAATGCACACATTTACAAGTATTATGACACATGTATGCAAGACACACCAGAGATTTCGTCCTGAAATTTAAGACCATTATTTAAGAGTCAGTACATACAATTTGTTTGTATAATTTAAATTTGCCATTTATACCGGTAATATAGCAATTTATATTGGATAAAATGAATTGAAAAGTAATTGCATCAGGATTTTCTATATATATATTCAATGTGTTTGAGTCCCCCACTATTATGCTGATGTCTCCTGCTGAGATTGTTTGACCTAACTTGTTCTAAATTGTGTTATGATATCCTGACGTGTAAAGGAAACCAGTACAACTAATTAAGTGGCAATGTTGTTATTTTGGTGTTTGGAACAAAATGGCAGTGACAGTATATTACCAATGAAATACATTACACACATAGACTGGCCAGATTTATGACTTCAAACCAAAACCCACTCTCCCCTTACCTGTGCATACCACAGACTCTGCGCTTCAGGATCTACTGATTTCACCATCGATCGCAAACTGACATCGTTACCGACTTTCAGTTCGTTCATGGGTTCCATTTCAAAGGATCCTGATTCTTCTGGTGCATCCGCCGTGTCGATGGTTTCAAAATCCCATACCTGAAATATACAAGACAGTTACGAACATTCGCATAATCGGATCATTCAAATCTGATTTATCAACATTTTGAGATTAATAGTGGATATAAATGATCATAAACCCCACAGGATGAATAGAATTACGATCGTTAAACTCACCCTGATATATCCATCAGCACCGAGAGTGATCAGTTCGCCTTCATCCATCACAAATTGTTCAATACTCCCATTGTGACAGGGCTTCTTGTTTTTACGACACACTTGCACTTTGATCAGGGCACCATCCCATAATAACATGTTACCCCATTCAGTGCCGGACAACACCTTCCCATCAGGCAGTTCAACAAATCCTTCAATGTCGGAGATCTCTGTCCGACCAAATTTACCCAGCTCACCTTGCAGCTTGAGACCGGTGAAGGTGTGAGCCATTTTCCAAAACCTGTAATGTAGGAGTATTAATTCAATTCATTTATTTTGTTTCCAGTACAAGGGTTCAATTTAGTACTAGCAATTAGTACTGTAAAATCTGTATTAGAAGCGGCGGCTTCTATTGAAATGGTACAATGCAACAGAAGGGATGCGGCTTCTATTTGAGCCATCTACACATATGAGAAATGATGAATTTTTGGTTCTCGATTGTTTAAAAAGAACGGGTGCGTCTTCTATTAAGGAAGTAGCTTCTAATACAGATTTTACGATACTACCGGTAAATAGTCTTATTACCCTCATGAGGACCATATTGTTTCTTGGCAGGATGTACATTTTTTTTAATTATTTTAAAATTTCTTCAATAACTTTGCACCTAATGCACCTTTGCACCTAATTTATCATAACCTGGAAGGAAATAATCTGTAGCTTTGATTTGTTAAATGTCTCAGTCAAATGTTTCGTTTACACCTCTGAGTTTCAAAGTCAACTCCAGGCACCAATCACAACACAGTTTCAACTATAGTCTGCTTTTTTCCACATTTATTTTCTTTCAAAAAATAGAAGCAATGTAATATTTTGTCTGATTGTTCCAAAATTAAGATTGAATTTAGTGAAAATTGCACAACAAATTTACCTCGTTTTGAGCAGGAAACAAATATGGCACTCAAAGATTTAAAAAAATTTTGCTTCACATATAAAAATAAAGCAGCACTTTTTTTTACAAATTTGAATCAAAGGCTTTTAGACAATGGGGAACAGTACCCATTTATTCCAAAATCAACAAAGAAAAATATAGAAAATAACTCAGAACTTTGGTGAAAAGTTTTGAAACAAAATTTTGCCAGAAAGCTTTATGATGTTTGAAAGCTCAATGAATACACTTTAGCGAATGTCTTTGACATCTACCGAAATCTGAGGCAGGTTTTTACTATAATTATAACAATAATTGTAAAATAAAATTAGTACCTGATGTGACCGACACCACTGCTTGTCAAATGCTTCTCATTGTCTGGTGAAAACGTAACGTGAAAGACGTCTTGTGAAAATGCTTTGGACCTCAGCACAATATGTTCCTGCTTCCAGTCCCATACAGTCAGCATGAAATCGGGATCGCAACCAACAGACGCAATAATTTCCCCCGATGGATTGAAATCAATGAAAGAGTATGCTTTCTCTGTACCGCCACGTAAAATACGGTAGAGTTTTAGTGACGGATACTCAAAGATGTTTATGTTGGG